GGTGCAGTGCGCCCACCAGTGAGCCCGCAGCGGCGTGAGGGCCTCCTCCCTCGGCTGCCCGGCCGTCGGCGACCCGGCTGGAGTGTCTGGTCAATCCAATGAACTGATAGACGTTTCTTGGTCTCTGTGTAACTTTTAAAATGGGTAGAGCATCTACAGAGTGTATAATTTAAACTAACCACCCAGCCCCACCTTCACCTTGGCCTCCTGCAGCAGGACGGAGCACTCGAGGAGCAGCGAGACTCACGCGTGGGCTCTGCGTTTCGGTCCTGCCGTCTGCGCTTGATTCTCATCGGTTTCGTGTAGATTTTTTTCCATATTTTAAGTTCAGCCCCACATTGTAAAGTTGTGTACAATTTGTCGGGAAGCTTTGCGTTGGCTGCATCTGCATAACAAGCTGCTACAAATAGAATAAAGGACTTCACAGCCTGGATCTCTCGTTTGGGTGCGTGGCGGTGGCGTCACACACGGTGGCTCGGCGCCGAGTGGGAACGGGGGTCCGGCGGCTGTGGTTGTCAAGTTTGGGGGCTCTTTTTCCTTTTTTTTTAATCTTGTGAAAAGTTTTCCAAACTCAACAATAAAAAGCAGCTGGTGTAAATTATTTTTGTGTCACATTTTTAGGAGGAAGAACATGCTTTGACCTAAAATGTATCCTTAAGCTGGAGAATGTGTCCTTGGTCCTTAAACAGCCCTTAACGACTCTGGCTCAAAGCTCCTGCCTCAAGCCCGTGCCCGTTTCAAGGCTTTGAAAGGCAGACGGATGCGAGTTGGATGTGTGGTGAGACCCAGGCTGGATGAGCCTCGCCTGATGCTCTGTCGGGTCAAGGACGTCCGAGCTCCAGGTTGTCGGTCACGATGCCGAGCCTCCGTGTCTCCCCCGCGCCGCCCTCTCTAAAGCCGGGGTAACAGCAAGTCAGTACCAGAGCCATGTCTGCGAAGAACCTGCCGACATGCTCTGTGCTCATCACGGGGAGTGGGGGGGGGCTCTCTGCCTCCGTGGATGTTGGGGAGTCGGGCCGGCACTGCTCACCACTGGGCTCGGTGGACTCCCGGGCTGGCCCGAGAGGCAGCAGCAGGCGAAGGGCGCGTCTCCACTCCCCGCCGCCTCACCGCAGCCGCCCTTTCATGCCCAGCATGGGTGTTTTTAGGACACACTTTAGGGAAGAGAGACATGAGTTGTGCGTCTTAACACTTGCAAAGGAACAAGTGGAGTTAACTGAAAACCTAACTTTAAATGTGTCATGCCGTCCCTGACCTTAAAGAGAGCGTTCGCAGTTTATTTCTGGGTCTGCTCAACCCGAACCCGAGTGGAGAGGGGAGGGACACTGCCCTGGCATGAATCACAGCCCCGAGGTGTAGGCTCCTGCCCTCCCTGCTCTGCCTCGTACAAAGAAGATACTTTCCAGCCAGCCGGGGCCAGATTCAACAGCACGGTTTGTATCCGAAGTTATTCCCACAGGCGCTGGAAGCAGAAGTGCAGCCACAATAGAAAATAGAAAGTTTAGAGAGTTTGCAGTTCCAGTAGAGAGAGATTTAGAAAACAGTTCAGTTAGTGTAGTCTTTTCTCCCCCACCCCCTTCCTGAGCCCCTTGGCTGCAGCCCAGAGGCTGTGGGGGGGGGGGAGATATTGTTCAGACGACTTGGTTCACTCGGTGTGCCCCTCTGGGGATCGAGTGTCAATGGTGTGGCCAGCACCAACGGTCTCATTGTAATGTGACTTGTATGCATTAAACATGTTTTTTTTTAAGGCGTACAGTCCAAAGTGGTTTTAGCCTACTCCCAGAGTTCTGCGACCATCACCACCATCCAGAACATTGTCATCGCCTCGGGAAAGAAACCCCACGTCCGTCAGCGTTCACCCCCTTCCCGTTTCTGGGGTGCCCCCAGTCCGGTTCCTGTTTCTAAGGGTTTGCCTTTTTCAGAGTCGGCACAAGACAGAGGAGTTCTGACAACACGTGTGGCCTTCTGTGCTGACTGAGCCGTGTTCATTGTTTGTCCCCGTGATGGTGTGTGTCAGTGCTTCATGCTGTCTCCGAGTCGTGCTCTGCTGTGGGCGGGTGCCACGCCTGTGCTGGCCCGGTCACTGGCTGGCGGACGCTTGGGGTGCCGCTGCTGGGGACGTTGTGGACAGGTTTCCACGTGGATGCGTTTGCTGGACACCTACCCAGGAAGGGCATCACTGGGTCACCGGTGACCGTTCACCCTTGGGAAGACTCGCCAAACTTCAGAAAGCCTGCTCCGCCGGGCCGTCCTGCCTGGGTGCGCAAGGACCTCGCCTTCTCTATTAGCGCCATTGTCATAGGAGGTGTCAAGTGATGGACCTCATTCCCCTCGTGACCGCGTCCTTTCCCACGGGCTTTCTGCCCATTCGTGTGTCTCTGGAGAAGCGTCTGTCTGTCCGAGTCCTCCCCCAGACTCAATTCACACTTCCTAAGTTTTCACCTCCTTCTGTTCCCAGCACCAGGTCTCCTCTCGGCCAGTGTGGCACTCAGTGTCTCCCCGGTGGCCCGGACTGTTCTGAGGAGCACAGGTATCTCGTAGAATGCCTCCTGCCAGTTCCACATGGGGAAGGAAGGTGTCCGTCAGTCCTGCCTGCGTGAGTCAGTGCTGTGTTTTTTCAGTGAGACAGGAACCTTGCCCCGCTGGCTGCCAGCCGCTGGCGTGGTTGCTCCATTGAGGTAATGGACCTGTTTACCCAGTAGAGGGCAGTGCTGAGCACAGCGATAGGCAGGTAAGGCTCATCCGTACCTTAAGGTCCCACTCACTGTTTACCGCTCACACTTGGTTTGCAGATAAGTCCCTCCCACCCTGTGGCTTGTCTTTCTTGAAGCACAAATGTTTTGAAAGTTTCAAAGTAACGTAGTTTGCCATGTACGCTTTTTTGCCCAGACTTTTGAGGGGAAAATAACAATGCCCATTATACATGGGTAGTACTGATTCTGTATCTACGTAAACGTTTTTAATTCTCTTATTTATGCTTATGCATTAAAAGTGTAACTCTAGAGAACATTAACGATATCCATGTGCAAAATACACCCTGGAACACGATAATTGGCTTTGTTTCTAAACACAAATAAATGAATTCAATGAAAACATTAACACGAAAGTTTTTTTTCCCCCTGAAAGTTTGGGCCAAAAACATGGGTGCGCATCATGTGCAGGCGCACATTACACACGGCAAAGTCCGGCAGGTCTAACTCACCCACATTTCCTTCGGTCCTTGCGCTTTGGGTGTCGGGAAGAATCGGCAGCACTTGAACTGTGGTGTGTGGGAGGAGGGAGGACGTGGCAGGCCCACCCGGTAACTGGTCATGGGCTGCGGAAGGCCCCTCGTAGTGACTGTTCCACAGTGTATCAGTCAGGGCTTCGGTGTTTCGTCCCCACCCCGATCGTACCCATTCGTGTGTGGAGAGAGGACAGTGATGCTGTGGACCGACAGGTGGGCACATGATGGAAGCTTGCTGCCTCGGCGCCCCATGACAGCCGAGGAAGGTCACGGAATGACGGGTGTGTGCCGGGCAGGGTGCTCGGTGTTCTACCCGAGTGACAGCATGGCCCCCATTTACAGATAAGGAGGCCACATCTCAGCAACTTGAAGGATTCGGAGAGGTCACGGCCGTGATGTGGTGCAGAGGGGATTCCAGTTCAAGCACCAACTCCAAGGCCCCAACCACGCCAGCAACGCCCGAGAGAGCTGCTCCTCTGCCCACGTCCCAGCAAGCACCTGGGCGGGAGTCGCATCGGCCTGATGGCAGGTGGCACCGTCCTCGGACTGGTCACTGGGCCCAGACTCCAGGCCCAACCGTGGCTTCTCCCCTGGACAGCCTGGCCTGGGCGGTGCCTGCATTCCCTTGGAGAAGGGGCTCAGGTTGGAAGGGGGAGCATTTTATGTTTCAGAAGCTCCCACTGTTGACCTGAGTGGTAGGCAGAGCTGGTATCGCCTCCACTCCTGGCCCTGGCGCTTTTGTCCTTGTCCACTGTCCTCTTTGACCAACGGGAATGTTGGGAGGTCGCCCCTAGAGCACTCTTTCTGACAGATCTGTGGGGGAACTCCGGGACTGAGGACCCTGGAATTAGGGTCCCGGCAACCTCTGGGCCACGTCACCTGTTCAGTGTCTCCGTTTCCTTCCCTGCAGACAGGTGAAGGAGTCAGACGGAGTTCTCAGAGCCGGGTCAAAATATCCCCCAGGCTGCGTGCAGAGGGACACTGTCCCAGGAAGGGGCGCCTGACTCCAGACCCGCTGGGGGAGTCGGGGAGAGGGAAGTCAGCCCTCCTGATGGGCACGTCCCCCCCGCCCTCCAGGGCAGTCTCCACGCTGACAGTCATGTCACTGGCACAGGCACACAATGTCCGTGCGCCCACCCTCGTCCACCCTGTAAGAGGCGCTGGGCAGCAGGCATTGTCTGGGAACTGTGTGCCCAGGTGCCCGCATTGATACACGACATTTGAGACCGGCTCGCTGCTGTTTGAGGCCGGTGGGGACCCCACAGGACCACCTTCCCTGCTGCTTAACCGTTTTTTTCTCCTGGAAACGCCCTTGACCTTAGGGAGGCGCTGCCTGGTCAACAAGACTGTTTTTGTTGAAGGATGGATTACGAGTGTGAGAAGTTGGAAAGGACCCAAGCAACCCTTGTTGAATTTCATCACACGGATTCAGTGTGTAGGACGGGTGCGGCTGTTAAAAAACGACACGATGAAGATGAAGATATAAGACCTTCACGTCATGGAAAGCACGTTCGACCTGCCGCGGTGTTTGAGGCGCACACCTGCGGGCCCCAGCAGAGATAAGGGCTTCCTTCACCTTTGAGGCCAGCGGGAGTTTGAGTGTCTTCACTGTGAAAACACACAAAATCCAAATAACCTTTACACACCCACTGCCCCAGCACTTGGGGGAAAATGTTCATTGTGCTGGAAATATGTTACCCAATGAGGATGGGCAGTTAGTGTGTCCACTTGACTTTTACATGTAAACTACAAGGAAAGTAAATCCCAGTTGCTGTTTTTGACATGTATTTTATTTCAAAAATTCCAGCAGAGCAATTATCAAGTACCTTGCTCAGGAGACACCCTTGAGAATCCAAATTGCAAAACGGGGCCAGTTGGGCCCGCCGGCTCTTCCTGCGAATCCACACACCGGGCCAGCTGGACCAGCCTCCAGGTACGCAGGTACAGACCACCATGGGCAGCCCAGCATCCCCCCTCCCCGGGTGGCTTTTGTCCGTAGCCTTACAAGGCAACCCCAAATGACAAATGACTCAACTCTGCTGGTGCCCCAACCAGACCCCAGAACAGAATCCGTAAAACGTGAAATCTGTCACAATCAGCGCCCCTACGCCAGCGGCCCTTATCAGGCTTTTATTGTTTGTTGAAAAGCAAACCCAGTGTCCACGGCGTCTTTTTAAAAATCATGTAAACGTTGCAAAGTTTTTAGAGGTTATTTATAATCTCAAGAGATTTATTTTTTTAAAAATCTACTGTACTTGTTAAGACTACAAATACTCACCCGCCCCACCCCTGTGAGAAAATCGATTGTTACAAAAGGTATAAAAAATAGACGAGCCTCTCCTCTACCTCCTCCACCAGACAGCTGTGGGCGCTGGCTTTCGTACCGTGCACGAGCCCACTGCGATGTCTCGATATTCTTTTAAGGAAGGGCAAGTTCCCACATCTTTATTCCCTTTGTCACTTGGGAGGGTGGCTGCCTTGTTCACGGGGACTGTGATGCCAGCGTGGGGTGACAGTTACTTGCTGGGTCCCCGGACTCCTGAGCCGGCCTTGGGTCCCCCAGGCTGGTGGGGGAGGCGGCACCCACTTTCTGGGAGTGTGAGTGGAACCCGAGCCAGGTTTGCTCAGCCAGGGCAGCTGCAAGCTTGGGGGAGGACACCCCGTGGCCTGGAGAGGTGACAGGTGCTCCAGGACCTGTCTGTAGTGTGGGAGGGCCCAGCAGCAGGTGTGGAGAAAACACTCCTGTGCACTTCAAATTGGCCGCAGGTCCTCTCCACGGCGGCCAAGCTACCAGGCACTTTGGCCAATTAATGGCTAGGAGGTGGACCAAATGTGGTTTGAAATAACTCAACAGACACGATGGGGACAGGGGGTGACTGTCAAGCTCTTGAGGACGCCCCTCCATCATGAGGACCCTGTCAGTGTTCATCGTTCGTTCCTGCTGTCGCCAGCAGAGGGCGGTATGTGCAAAGGAGCCCTCTAGCTCTGGGGGAGAACCAGTGCTGGGTAAAAGCAGGGCGGATCCCCAGGGCAGAACCCCTCTGCTGCTGCTGGGCCATACCCACCGCCTCAGTCTAAGCATGCCCGAGGACCCTGCACCTCGAAAGCTCTGGTGTCTGTTCGGGGCCCTCGCTACCTGGTTCAATTCAGAGCCTGGCTCACACCCACCAGTCCCCTGCAGAACACAAGAAAAACACTGGCCGTGGCCCCCAGTGCCCACTGCTGCCCAGCTCAGCGTCTCCTGCACCCCGAGTGCTGCTGCCCTCACCGTTCTGGACTGAAATGTGGGTGCTGCCCCTGGGTGGACGGAGAGGCCCTCTCCAGGCCCACCTGCTATGAGAGCTGGGACCCTGTGCCGCGGAGGGGCTCACTTCCCGGGTCCCAGCGGGGACGTGGGGGCTCCAGTCCCCTCCAGAGCTAAGCCACGCGCTTCCCAATATGGTGTTCCTCCAGCTCTGCAGTGTCTCACCCACCACAGCCTGGGGTTGCAAACCCCACGCACACCTTCCAAAAGCAGCACCACCAGAGGCAGAGAACACAGGCCGACCAAGTTCCCTCCGCTTTGGTTGCATCAAAAAAAAAGAAAAAGAAAAAAGAACCGGGCTTCTGAGATATCCGCAATTCACATTGGCTTGGAAGAGAACTGCTCCCAACAGCAAGGCACAAGAAAAGGTCTCCTGGGGACGCGTTATGATGGAGGCCCTCGGGAGGCCTGCGGCAGCGACGTCACCGGGGGAGGCGAGTGGAGCGTGCGGCGTCAGGAAGGCCGAGCGCCCTCACGCGTACGTCTCCAGGAACTGCACGTGGAAGTCCCTCACCTTCTGCAGGACCATCTTCAGCTTCTCCATGGGCGGCAGGATCGTCATTCTGCCGGGAAGAGAGCAGCGTCAGCCTGTGCACCGAGTCGCTCCTGCCAAGGGGACCCACAGCCCAGCCCCAGCCCCACTGCGGGGGCCATCATGGGGATGAGGGTGGTGGAGGCCGCCATGGGGCCGTGGCTCCAGCCCCACGTGGCACCCAAGTAGCACACGTGATGGAGAACAAGGAGCCAGTGGCCGCACACAGGCCGAGAGCCCTGGGCTGTTACCCCAGAGGCTCCACCGGCCCAGCGTGGACCAGGGCCCTGAATGTCTCTGGAGCGTGTGCTGCCTATGCGTAGGAGATGCCACTCCTGCCAGACAGGCCTGCAAATCCCCACAGCGAGAGCCTCTACCCACAGCTCTCTCACCGGAGGAAGCCCCCCAGTTGCCATGGTAACGAAGTCCGCCCTCCAGTACTGCCAGTGTGACGCCCAGCCCTAAAGGCAGCTTTCTGGATGACCCTGGAATGACCTGGGGGGACCTACAAGGGGGTGCAATGGCCAGTCACTCGTGACCTCCCATGGAAAGTGCCACCCATGACCTGGACAGAGTGGAGACTGGCCTCCAGGTGCTAACTGCGCTCATGGTGCTGCTTTTTTCAAGTGTCTGCCCGAGGGACACCAGAGAAGGCGCTGTCCTGAACAGACCCGGCCCTGTGGGGAGCCCCGGGGCACAGCCCTGGCTTGCTCAGCCCCAGAGTCCACATCAGGCAGGGACAGCGGGTCCCTTTGTGTTTTGGAAGCAGGACCTTGGCAGACGGGGTTGCTGCACATGCGCCGCTGAGCCCCGGACGCTGGACGCAAGATGGTGGGGGTGAGAAGAGGCAGGGAAGTAAAGAAAACACACTGTCAGGACCATTCTACATAGTATGTGATGGAGGGAGGCAGCAGAGGGGGCCCGAGAGCCCAGGAGATGGCCCGGGCACAGGGGCCCAGTTTGGCTCTGCAGGGCAGAACAGGGTGGGGGTGGGGGAGAGTCGGGGGAGGGGTGGATTGCCCAGGGGAGGCCCGGGCTGCACACATCTCCATCCTGGAAGCCAGACAGCGCTCGGGACCAGCCCCGGTGCCCAGAGGTGGTACCTGAAGTGGTAGGTGCCTTCCTGCTGCCCGAAGCCGCTGCCAGGCACGACACAGATGCCTGTCTCCTCCAGGAGCTTCATGCAGTAGAACATGTCAGGGGCCATGTCACGGGCCTGCGGGGACAGGGTGGGACTCAGGCCTAGGACAGCTCAATGTGACGGGGCCTCCTACCCACGAAGCCACATCCCCAGTGGCAGGGGGCCCTGGGTCTGCACCCAGGGGCTGTAAGGGAGCCAGCTGTTGGGGACACTGTGGATGGTGCTTCTCACCCCTGGGTTTGCACAACCCGGGGCATCTGCTACCTGGGTTCTCAGGCCCTGACCCAGGATTCTGGTTCAGTAGCTCTCGGGGGGCGGGCAGGTTCTGAATGTTTAATGGGGTGCTGAGGGGGTTTGGCGGGGTGCTAAGGACAACTCTCAGAAATACTCAATCTTCAACGCAGGGTCTGTGGAGCTCACTGCCTGAGAAGTGGCTAGAAACACGGAACCTCAGACCTCCACAGAGTTCCTGAACCCGAATCCGAGTCTGAATGAGTCTGAGTTCCAGACCGTGGCGCCCAGGCAGAGGGCACTGGAGGGACTCTCGCTGTTTCCCCGGCCTGCGCTCCGTGTCAAAAGCAAAGAGTCCTGCCTGCACACCTGCCCAGAGGGCGCCAGCCCCAAGTGGACCCCGATCAACACCCCTCGCCCGGGGCCCACAGCGCAGCATGCAGGGCTGGGCCTGGGGGCTGCCTCCTTTACGCAGTAAGTGCCATCTGGCGGAGGGACCCCAAGTTCAGAGCCCCCAGGCAAGAAGCTGCCCTCAATGAGCCCGGAGAGAGAGCAGAGCCTGCCTGGCGCCCTGACCTGAGCTGCCTCCACAGCTTTGGGGGGGATGAAGATCCGTGGGAAGGCGTACATGGCGCCCTGCAGCGGGTTGCACTGGATCCCGGGGACTTGGTTAAACAGGGATTCTGTCAGCTTAGCCTTTCTGGCCAGGTTGCTCAGGACAGACTCCTTCTCCTGATGGGACAGAGAGCACAGGCGTCAGACCCTCCAACGAGGGAACAGCGCTGACGGGGAAGGTGAACAGGCATGTGCGTGAGCACAACCGGCCAGGGAGGAGGGCGGGACCGCTGGCCCTCCTGGGACTGCTCCCCTGGTGCTCGGGTGTGGGGTCCGCAGGCGAGGAAGAGGAGGGCTCCCATATCCACAAGCAGGCACCAGCCACATCCCCAGACCCCACCTCCTGCGGGAGCGCCCTCCCAGAGGAACCATCTGGAGAGCGGCTGGCCTTGGGATGTGGGCCACGGGCTCACCCTGATGAACTGCTCGAAGGACTCCTCCCCAGGCACCGGGGGGTTCACAACGATGTCCATGGCGGCCTGCCCGGACACGGGTGGGCACAGACGCACGGAGAGCAGCTTCACCAGCTGGCCTTTGATCTCAGGGTGCAGGTTAATCACCTCCATGTAGCCTCCCCTGTAGCCACACCTGCGGGGGGAGAGGACCTCAGCTGAGCGCAGCCCCACCAACCAGAAGCTTCCATAGCCCTGTGGCCCTCCAGCCCTCCCTGCACCTGGCACTGGGCGGCCAGGTGTGGCCGAGCTCTGGCCAGGGAGGTGAGCGGAGTGCTATGTGCAGATTCTTCTCGATCTCCTTACGAGGAGGAAGTGTGCTCTCTCTCCTTTCCTTCCCTTACTTCCCGAGATGGGGAGACACTGGGGCGGCAGCTGCCGAGCCAGAGATGCACATGACCTGCTGGGGGGCAGAGCCAGCCCCCCAAACTGCCGTTCAATGACCTCATGGGGCACAGCCTGCCCCAGATACCCCCATACCTGGGACTGGTATGTCACAGACACTCTCATCTTGTCTGAGCCCCTGTGATTTAGGGCCTCTTTGTGGTAGCAGCTGAGCCTGAACCCCAACTAGCACACCAGCCCCCACCCCAAAGTGGCACAGATTCAGGTCTGGTGACCCCCTGCACCAGGGGTGCGCGAGTCATTCAGGGGCGCCAGCCGGAGGACTCCTGCTGGAACTTTCTGCTGCCCGGAAACAGTCACCCCAAGGGGGAGCAGGGTGGACAGAGCCAAGGAGGCGAAGGGAGAAGGTGGACCCAGGACCCTGCGGACACTGTTAAGCCCTGGACTCAACTTTACTCCTGGATTCTTTACTGATATGGACGAGATACTAAAAAAGCCTTTTTGGTGGGGCCAGTCCCAGCTGAGTTTGTTACTTATGGCTAAAAGGACCCAGACTGATGCTGCGTCAAACCGTCTGCAAATAAACCGCAATGTAAGAGTTTAAAAACAAACCCTTCGGAATTAAAGCAGCTCCATCAGGGGTCCTTCCTGGGGCCCTGTCGCCTCCCCGGGGCGGCGCCTGAGGGAGCTCGGACCAGTGACTGGTCACCTGCAGCCACCCCGGGTGGGAGCCTGGCCTCCCCGTCCCCTCTTCCCCCCCCCTTCCCTCCCTGCCCTCCACCGCAGGGCGCCAGGTGGGACGACACCCCCCCATCAGATGCTCTCAGCTTCACTGGCAAAGCCCGGTGCCCCTCTAACGCCCAGGCTGGACGCGGAGAGGCAAGCGGACAGGGGCTGGCAGAGTGGACAGGTTTCCCAGCACTAACGCTGGAAGGAGGGCTTCCTGCCTGACCCTGTGCGGACGAGCGGAGGATCGAGGCCACAGGGGGCCTGGGGCCCACGTACTCGCCCATGTAGCCCTTGGAGGTGGAGTGGAAGGAGGCGAGCTCCACGTTGCCGGAGTACTCGGGCCCCATCTCGGAGAGCACCTTCTTGAAGGAGTGGAAGCTGCAGTCCGGTGAGTGGACGTTGTCCTGGTACACCTGCGGGGCGGGCAGGGCGGGGCTCAGGACTGCTTCCGGCTGGGCCAGGAGGTGCCCGGGCTGGACGCGCAGGGATGTCTCCCCACCCAGTCCTCCGACCACCGTTCTACCTCTGTGACCCGTGACGACTCGGAGGACGCCTGCCTGCCCGAGCAGCCGCTCCCCCTGAAGTGTGACTCGGTGACATTGGTGACAAGTGGTCCCCGCCCTGCCCTCCCTGATGAAGACCGAACCCTGCTGCCCCCTCGGCCCCCCAGCCCCTGCCCAGGTCGGGCCCGTTCTGTCTGTCCAGTTTCTTCATTGGCCCCCCCCCACTACATCGTGACGAAGAGCAGCTCCCACGCCTGTTTTTTCCTCTCCTGTCCACCCACTGCCCTGGAGGTGGGCCTGCCACAGCCCTTCAGAGGCCAAGGAAACCGAGGCCCTGGGGCACGGTGGGTGGGAGGGAGGGCGTGAGAGGCCCAGGTCGGATCCGCCTCCAACAGGCCAGGCAGGGTCCTCCCCGCCCCCTCTCCCCAGACCCAGAGGGGAGGCTGGCGGGCCAGGGCCTGAGGAAATCCAGGGCTCATTCTGCTGCCTCTTCTCTCCTTTAGAAATGAAGGCCCATGTGCCATCAATCATGGCCGCAGTATGGTGAGCAGGCTGTGCGTGCTCGTGTGTGTGGGTGTGAGAGAGAACAGGGTACTAAGGAACAAAGAAATAAAGCTTGTGTACTGGACGCTGGGACTGACCAGAAACCGCTCAGACGTGAGATGACGTGCAAACAGGCCTGCCAGGCCTCCCCATCCTCCCCTGCACAGCAGGAGGAGGGCATGGGCCTTGGCCCCGCAGCTGCAGTTCATTGAGACTGCCCTCCTTTCAGGACGCAGCGGGTACAGAAGCACGCTGGGAACCGGGCAGGCCCGTGTGTGGGGCCAGCGTGCCAGGAGGAGCTCGAGAGAATCTGGTCTGAGGTGTGGTTTGAGTCCTGGATCCGGCCCCACGCCTGTACGCCCGCCTTTCTTATTTTAAAGTTGAAGTGGTTTGGGCTGGATTTCTGAAATGTTAACTGAGTCCGAACCAAGTGGGGATGCTTTAGGTCACAGCCTCCCCCGTGGGCAGGCCCTCTCCTCCAACACCCAGGAAGGCCACGCCCGGGGTGGGTGGCAGCGGCGGCTCCTACCTCGTCAGCCAGGAGAAAGAGCTTCTCCTCCCATGCGAAGTGGATCACGTCCTCTATGCACTTTCTGCTCTGCACCTGGCCTGAAAAACACAGCAAAACCGGCCTGTGGGTTGTAACGCTGTTTCCATTTTCCCAAGGTCAGACCCTCACCCAGAATGACTCCGGTGCTCCCTGTGGCTGTGCCTGATGCGTGTAGTAAGTACATACATATGTGTGCACATATATTAGTCATATATATGTATACCTCTGATGCAAAGCAGTGTATAGAGTATGTTATCTTTTTGTTACAAATAGAAATACCTATATTCTTGTCTATGTAGGAATATGTCTGAAAATTATACAGCTGCATCTCGTAAGCGTGTTGGGTGACTCAGCTTGTGTTTCAACCTTGAACTATCTATGCAATAAAGCAATTCCTTTACGAAGAAACCAACTGTGTCCTGCCAAACAAGTGCCAACAGGCTTCCTGGAAAGCCAGCCTGGGATTGAGGGGGGGGAGCAGGGGCGGGGTGGCTGCCCTGGGTGCTTCGGGCAGGCTCTGCCCATCCTCCAGGCGACACTGACCTTCCGAGAGTTGACCCATGTTCAGTCATTCAGATGCCGGAGAGCAAATAAGCCCTTGCCCACTTATAAAGTTACTCTCTATAAAACCTACAGCCCCTCTACCTAAAACAGTTTAAGAAGGAACAGTTATTTCCTCCCATACAGCCAGGCAAAGACCGATGTAAACACCTGCCCCGGAAATTTCTGCCCCTCTAACAAACTGGGCCCGCAGAGAATTTCCTAAGACTTGCTCATGCAGCAAGGGGGGTGGGGCCTGGGAGCTGGTGGGGAAACTCAAATTCCCCAGCCCACCCAGCCAATCACATCGGAGTATCTGGAGGTAAGGGGGTGGGGCCTCCAGGGACTTGTCTCTTTAGGAGCTTGAGTCTGACACAGCTGCCTGCGCCCCCTCCCCAGAGATGATGGGGTGCGGCCTTTTTTAAAAAGCGCCCTTTGTGATTCTAATATACAGCCAGGAGGGAGAGGCTGGCTCCCTGTCATTTTCCACCAGCCACCTGCTCAGGATCTGCGCCCCCTCCCCCAGGAGCTGGTGCAAATGCAGCCGTGACAGCCAGCTGCCCACTGTCTCTGCTCCAGAATTCAAGTGGCACTCCCAGCGGATGGGGGCACGTTGTATGTTCCCAGCAAGCAGATGCCACGATCAGCTCCAACGTGCTTTTGGCCCTGACCCAGTTCATCTCGAGGAAGGAGAGAGGAGCCCTTGTTCTCGGCATCCAAACAGCGTCAGAGACGCCCCAGCCCACAGACCAGAACAGGCAGGACTGTGCTTTTTTTTTAAAGAAAAATATGCTAAATTAGGAGTGATTTTCTGCTTCTGGAAACAGGTTTTTTTGTTTGTTTGCTCTAAATACAGCATTTCCTTTCTCGGGCCTGCAGGTCCTCCACAAGGCTGCGTCTGAGGCTCAGGTAAATGCACACCGGCGTTTGGAAACTGGTTCAGGAACACAAGCAGGAGGCCCAGGATGAATGGGGGCACTTGTGTGCGAGAAGCCTCCAGGGGGGCTGCAAAGGCGAGAACCGGGAACAGCACCGGCCCTGGCTCACCTCCTCAGCTGAGGGGTTTTAGGTTAGCAGATCTGGACATGCACTGGGAAACCGGGAGCCAAGAGGACTTCACGTCGTTCCTTAACTCTCCAGCGCCCAGGGGTGTAGTGCACCGGCACCCCCACCCTGCTGCCCCACCCGCCCCCCCACGCCAGCGAGAAGGGGAGCGCAGACCTGTGGGGTTCCCAGGGTTGATGATACACAGCACTTTGGGGTCACAGTGGTTTTTGGCCTCCCGCAAGGCCCGCCGGAGCTCGTCGACGTTCAGGGCCCAGCAGTTGTCCTCGTCCAGGTAGTAGTTCACCTGCACGGCGCCCAGCTCCGAGATGACCGCCGAGTAGAGGGGGTACTGCGGGATGGGGATCATCACTCCCGTCCGGGACTTGCCACCCCCGGAAACCAGGATCTTCAGGATCGTCTGCAAAGAAGTCCCGTCTCACAGGGGCCCTGTCTCTCCCCAGATGCCCCTGCTGCCCACAGCCCCGTGGGACGCCCGTCCTCGTCTGCAAAAGGTCCGCTGTGAGGAATGAGCTAGATGAAGTGCTTTAAAGCCCCCAGCACGGTGCCTGGCAGAGGCAGCCCACAGACGGATGTGCTGAGGGGAGAGAGGTCAGGGTCGCCTGGAGGATGGGCAGAGCAGGCCCCCCCCCGAGGCCCCCCTGCGCCTCTCCGGCTGGACCCGCAGCGTGCGCTCTGTGGGAAGCCGAGGCTGCAGAAATGTCCAGGCCCACGAAGACGGAACGAGGCGAGGACAGGGGAAGGAGGGCAGCAGGGGCTGAGCGGCCCCCCGCCTCCCGGGCCTGTCCCCCGCCAACAGGCTGCCAGGCCTGGCCCTGGTGTGCAGTGCTGTCCCCCGTGCGGGTGAGCAGCGGACAGCAGCGAGACGCCCCAGCACGTACAGTGATGCCGTCGCTGGCTCCCGTGGTCAGGTAGATGTTGTCGGGGTCTGCGGGGACGCCGCCGTCTCTCCGGGAGATGTAGGCCGCCACGTCCTCGCGGATGCAGTTCACGCCCTGGCTGGCACTGTAAGACCCTGCAGGACAGCACACACGACAGTGAGCAGAGGCGGGGTGTCACTGCATGGTGCATGGGATTAATGGGGGGGGTCTCAGTGGGACCTGGCTCCCCCACTCTAAGCTCTGGAATTGTGGCAGACTGCTGGACCACCCACCCGGGCTTCATCACCCACCCGTCCTCCCACCCACCCACCACCCACTTATCCACCCACTATTCACCTGCTTGCTCACTCACCCACCCATCTGTTCACCCACCCAGCCAGCCTTCCACTCTCCACCCTGTATTCACCAACCACCGACGAGGTCAAGCATAGTCAAGGCCTTGGCACCCACCCCTGGGTCACCTGCCCTGCTGGGATTTATGTGTGTTCTCTGACAAGTCGTGACAGCTGGGGCTGCCGTGTTTTATCCCCGGTGCCTCCACATGGTCCCCGAACTGGAGAACGGGTGGGTTGACCCAAAATAGCCCTGAGCAAAACCAAGCACAGTCCCCGGGGCTGCCCAGCATGACTTGCTACCGTCACCCTGTGTTAACACTGTCCTCAGGTGCACTCAGGATTAGAATCTGGACACCAGTTATATTCAAAATGCAAGAGCAGGCAGAGCCAGTTTCCGGCACTGGAGGTCAGAGCAGAGGTGCCCACTTGGGGTGCGGTGTTGGGGGCGAGGCCACCTGACGGAGCCCCTCCCTGAACTCTGGCCCTTGCCCACCGGCCAGAGCCCTGCAGCCCAGGCCCTCCAGCCTTTCCCTTCCTGTTATTGAACAAACCACATGGGTCCCCCAAAGCCAGCCTTCAGTCCCTGTTGGGGAGTCTGTCCTAAAGCCAGGGCCCCATCCCTAACCGGCCTTTCACTTCCCCAGGGAATTCATCTCACACAGTTGAAGCCCGGCCACTTCCCACCATCACCTGCTGTTTCTGTGCATCTCAGCGAGGGCACCTCCTCCCCCTTGGGCCCGCCCCACAACTGAGAGGGACAGCGCTCTGGTCACAGGGCCATCAGGCGGCCACAGCCAGGAAGGTAAGCCCCGGGCTCTTGATAGAGGGACAGAGCAAAAGGGGGAGGTGACGGGCAGGATGATGACCGAGAGGCCAAGGGTGGCTTTCTCCCTGCTGAGCACGCCACAAGAACGCCTGTTCCACCTTCCAGAACATCCAGGCACAGGTCCTAAAAAAGCTCTCAGGGCAAGGGCTTCCCACTGGGCAAGGGACGCCTGGTCCCTTGTGTAAGCAACAGGCAGAGGGACGGGGCGAAAATAAACAGGAAAGCAGACAGCTGGGAAATGAGAACAAAGAGCCAAGGTCCATGGGCTGCAAACGCGTCTCAGTGTGCGGCGGGGAGAGAAGGCCATTTTCACATCTGCAGCGGCCAAGCCAGCTCCGGGGAGGCAGGCCTGGGCTCCTGACAAAGGGGACCACAGGCAGGGCCACGGGGACACGGTGCGGTACGGGGTGGGCGGCAGGGTCGGAACCACGGAAGCCACCAAAAGGTGGGCAGCGGCATGTGGCTGCGCTATCCTCCCCCCCAAAACGGACGACCAGGCCATGCAGGATAAGCCGGGACCCAAAGAGCGAAGAGAAGGGAACGATGTGGACAGAGCCACCGTGGTCCTGAGGCTGGTTGCTGGTTAACCCTTCTGCTGGCAGAGGGCTGTGCCCTGGCCACCTCTCAGGGCCACAACCCATTCCGGCTGAGCCAGGAGCCGCGCCTACTGTGTCTCCATCCTCCAAATGATGGCGTTTACCCCATCGGCTCCGCCCTGAGGAGGCTGGCAGCCAGGCAAGCAGAGGAAAGCTGTTCTGTACCCCTCGGCACGCCAGCACCCCCCACACGCCCTCACACGCACCCCACTCAGTCAGCCACCACGGCCCAGACAATACGCTCACTCCTGCCCCCCAGGGCCCGGCAGGTCGGGGCCTCACCCAGGCTGTTGCCGCCACAGGCCTGGAGGATCCGCCGGGCTCGCTTCTTAGCGTCTTCCGGGAAGCTGGGGCTGTGCAGCAGGTTTGGGTAGGTGCACAGCGCCATCACCTGGGGGTGCAGAGGTGCGGGCTGGGCTCCCGGCACCCTCCACCCCGGAGGGCCGGGAGGGACACGAGGAACCCTGGGCAGGATGGGCAGGATGAGGTGCAAAGGTGACAACCCTGAGGCCCGGGGGCACTGGGGGTGGGTGGGGAGGAGGGTCCTGGGCTCCCTGCCGCAGAAGGGGAGACAGGCAGGGTGACCTGGGCTTGGGGTAGGCTGTCGCAGGAGGGGCCGGGGACAGGAGAGGGCTGCTTCCAGGCCCCCGGCCCGACTCTGCCACACAGGCCCGAGGCCCCCACACCCACGCCCACAGAACGGGGTATGCCTGGGCGGCAGGCAGGGTTAGGCGGCCGAGGGAGTGAACCTGGGACATCGGTCTGGAGGGGCTGCCACCTCAGAGGCACCTGCCTGTGGGACTCTGGTGCCTGCTGCCTTCGAAGGGCCAGCTCACCTGTCGGAGGAAGGTGATAGGCTGCTGGCCCATGGCCTGGGCGTCCCCAATGTTGGCACGGATGACCTCGGTGAACGGTTTTTTGATACCCTGAGCAGAGAGAAGACAACTGGTTACTTCAGACACTCAGACAATGGGTGCCAGAGGCCAAGCGAGGCCCCCACAGGACACTAATAAGCAAGCCCTATTTTGAGCCTCACCAGGTGCGGGGCACGGTGCCCAGCCCGGTCCCACTTAACCTTCACACCCACCGCAGGGGAAGAATTAGTATTAACCCTGTTTCACAGATGAGGCCGTCGAGGCTTCCAAGGGCGTAGAAAATTGCCCGAGGCCACATAAAGGATAAATACTAGTGCTGGCCTGGAGACCCCGAGCTGCCCCCCAAACCGCCTCTGCTTTCCGGAGGAAAGCCCGGAAGAACTCCCCGGGCGGCCTGGGTACCGGAGGCCACTGCAGGCCCGCAGCCCAGGGCGGCCTCAGAGCACCACTGAACCAGGGGTCCTGGGGCACACGGGGCGGAGGGAGGCCAAGGTCTGCGGGAGAGGACCCCACAGCCCCTGCTCCCACCTGGGCAAATGGCCAGGTACTGCGGACACCCTCTCCCAGAAAACACCCATCAGCAGGGACTCTTGGGGCCCCTCTGGCCCGTGCACCCTTGGCTTTGCAGAATGAAAAACGTGGGCGGACTTCCATTGGTCCCCCCCACCCCCGCTTTATATAGCATCAGGGAAGAAAAGACTGGCTGAAGAGCAAAACTGAGGCCACCACCTGGGCACAGAGAAGAGATCCCAGGGTAAGGACATCACTGGTAGGTGACTAGGACACCTGGGTCCGGATGGGGGACTTCGGGACCAGGAAACACGGGCCCACCAGCCTGCTCCCTGGTGGGTCCAAAGGAGCCACTGGAAGAGCTAGAAGCGACAGGTCGGAGGGCCTCCAGTGCAGCTGGTATGAAATGGCCTGGAACCCGCCTGCAGGGCTCCGACACCCTCATTTCACAGAGGTGCGCGGGACGGAGCCTCGAGGGTCCGGGTGGAAGAAGGCAGGGGGAGGAGGAGGAGCAGCGGGGCCAGGCAGTCGCAGGGCCAAGGGGCTGGGGCGGTGTGGGGGGGGAGGGCCACCTTCCCCTCTCCCCTGCCTTCTCCCCACAGGCATCCTAAGTGCGAATTTTAACGATGGAGTCCTGTCGTTTTAACACTAGCCTTTTTCTCCATTTCTTACAGTGTGGGAGTAAAAGCAACTTCAGAAAACTTGCCCTTTTTAAGTCAGTAAAGTACACCTGAAGTATTAACCAGGGATAACAGCAGCGGCCAATTGGGTGTTCCTGATCCCGTGTCCACCCCTAAGCCCCTCCCTCGTAGAAAAGCCCCTCCTCCAGCTGCTTCTGGAGGAGGCATGGGGTAGGGGCGCTGAGGAGGGCGCCCCAGAAATGGCCCTGGACCTTCATAAACAGGGCCTGGTAAGTCTCCAAACGCTACGTTTCTGTGCAGGAAAGAGGCTTTCAATCCCCTTGTGCCCTTCTGCCGAGTTCTTCAGGCCCGGCCACTTTGCCAAGATGTCCCAGGGAACAGGGAACAGGGAGAAGCAGCCAGAGCGTCCCGAAGGCCAAAGCCGGGGTGGTGCTGCCCACTACTCGGACCAGGCCACGGGTGAGAGCAGGCCCCGTGGGAACAGGCTGCGGGGCGTGTGGCTAAGAGTTCATCCCACAGGCAGGAGCCAAGAAGGCTGGGGACACAGGCCTGACGGGGCCTCTGTGCAAAGGGGCGGGCCGGACACTCCCCTTGGCCCTGGCCTGGGCTCCTGGCGTGGACCCTCCAGCAGCGTGGCTGTATCAGCCCCCGGGCCTGGCAGCTGAGCAGAGTGACTGCCGAGGCCTGGGCCCAGGCCTTCCTTAGCAGGGAGCGCATCTGTCACAGCGAGGGCCAGGGACCGGCACACAGCTGCGGGCCCCCAGCCAGCCTACTGCTGGGGGAGGACAATGCCTGGCATGGGGCCCAGAGGTTTCTGTCCTGTGCCGTCCCCCGTGCCACTGGGCCAGTTCGGGGCCAGCTGACAGGGAGCCCTGAACGTGCCTTCCTCGGGTCTCGGTGCCACAACGGGTGAGCTGGAGGGCTCTCTAATGACAGGGGACCAGCCGGCCCCAGCAAAGGCTTCCATACAGAGGAAACTGTACCGGGCAGACTGCTGCCCTCATTGATTCACGCAGGTCTCAGCCTCGCCCCCAAGGGCCTGCCCAGTCAGCACATAGCGCCCTTGACCCCTGCCCGCATCCTCCAGCCCACCTGTCCCATCTGCCCGCACGTAGCCTGCCTGGGGCTGCCTCCCTGTGGGACACTGAGATGCATTCCTACCCGGCGGGGCTCCCTTCCCACCAAGTAGGGACCAAGTAGGGGCCAGGGAGCAGGCTGCAGGCTCTGGGGACAGGGGCTCTTGGAGTGTCAGTGGGGAGGAGGACAGGAGGGCTGTCACGGTCCTTCTCACGGGCCCGGCAGCACCACGAAGGTCTTTCCGGTCTCATCTGAACTCTATGGGAAATGGCCAATGAGATTTCACCTCCTGTGCCCAGCCCACCCAGGGTTTCCGGTCTCGGTTCTTCACTTGCAGTGGGCACCTCCGTGGCCAGGGGGTCACACATGTGACGTCAGCTGCAGTGATCAGCCCGTCCCTCCAGCTATGTTCTGCCTCAACTGCTGGTTCTTTACAAACAGAAGCAAAGCTGTTCCGCTTGGGCCAACCTCCTCCCCTCCCCCAGGAAAGCAAAAGAAGGAGGCAGACCAGCAGGTCTTTTCAAACTCTGAATTGCAGCTCCTTTTTCAGGGAGCAGTAGGATCTGAAAATTGAGGGGCTCCTCCCCTCAGAGCCGCCAGCAGGGCGAAGCAGGGCCTCCTGAGCTGTAGACGGCTGGAGAGGACGGTCCCTTTCACGCCCACTTGGCCGCCGCCCCTCCTGCAGCCCTCCTGAGCCTTCTCCACTCCTGTCACAGGAGCCAGAAGGGCAGGACTCGCCGGGCAAGCCACCCAAGGCCACCTGTCCAGCCGGTCAGCCCCTGTGTTTGCAGAGCACTTGGTGACTCGTCAGTAAAAGGCCTTGGTGCCACCAGGGACCGCCTCAGGTTCCCCGGGCCACCGCTCTCCTTTTGTAGATGAGGACATGAGACTCACGCGCCACCCTGTTCCCTACAGATACTTGCCCATCCCGTCTAGAACCAAATCGAACCCCACGCAGCAGCAGTTCAGCTTTGACTGCCGCAGTTCCTCACGGGGAAAACCAAAGCTGGCCTGAGACAAAGAAAAAAAAGGACCAGGAAAATCCCACAGTCCTCAGAAGGGCACCAGCGAGGCCAGCACAGTGGAGCCACTGTCTCCTGAATGGGAGGGTGTGGGGAGGCTGTGCCGGTTCGGCCAGACCTCACTCCCTGGCGCCTACCGCCAGGCGGCAGGGACCCCACACGGGGAAAGAGCGAAAGGAAGGGAGAGTGCCCGGCTGGTAGGCGCACAGAAAGGTCGCCTCCACTCACTCTGCAGCGGGACGTGGGGCGTGGGGCCTCTGTCCCAGAAACCAGAGGGTGTTTCCGGCTCATGTAATAGAAAAACTTGTTTACCTGCAATCACCCGGCCATGCCCTGCTAGGAATCCTTCCTGGATTCCACACTTTCACAGCCAAACTTGGCACCTTAAATCCTGAGCCCAGCACATGTCACTGGTTTGATTCCCAGTCAGAGCACATGCTGGGGCTGTGGGTCGGAACCCCAGCTGGGGTGCCTAGGGAAGGCAACTGATCCATAGTTCTCTCCCTCCCTCCCTCCCTTCCCTTGTCTCCAAAATATTTTTTTTTTTAATTTAAAGAGTACAAATGAAAAAGCCCACCGATCCTTAAAGGACTGGAGGGAGGAGAGAGCTGTCTGCTCCTGTCCTAACCAACCTCAGGCTGCACTGAGCACACAACCACGTTGCTATTTAGCAAAAGGTAGAGAGAAACCCTGAACCTCAGCCGGCTCTGGCTCCTGAGAAATCACCCCAGCCTTGTCTTAACAGGGAGTTTGCTGGCCTGCGCTCCCCGCCCAGCCCTCTCCTGGCCAGGAAAGGAGAGAAACCGAGCCAGCCGTGGGCGCCAAGCGTTAAACTTAGCCCTGCAAGGAGTCAGAGGGAGACGCGGACCCTGACCTGTCCAGCTCAGCGTTCTGAGTTGGCAGGACTGGGTGTCCTCAGAAGATGTCAGCAGCCGCAAGCTTAACAAACCCTCAGAGTCCCCACAGGAAGGGGGACCAAGTGCCATGTCCCCATCACAGCTTCCTGCCACACATTCTGGGACACTAAGTGACCACCTCCCCGGAGGTCCAGTTTTGGTACCTGTGAGACCAAGATCAAGGGCCCTCCCCACCGCCATTCTGAGTCAGATCTGCCTTGAGCAAGATTGTTCCACTATCTTACAGTCTCTTCAGCTCCTACCCATCCCAGGTGTGCTTCCGACATTCCCCTCGTGATGTCACCTGCAGAAGTCAGCCCAGGTTAGAAGTCCCACAGGGACCCCTGCGACACCCACGCCAGCTGCTCGGAGGCAGAAATCCCTCCTGGGTGTGCAGTCCCTTCACACGCAGCTATGAACTCAAGCCAAGAGCCCAGCCAGCTGGCCCCCAAGACCAAGAAGTCCCTACCGTGGTCGGAAGGGCCCGAGTCTCCGACTACCCAACTACTCACAGAGGGGTGGCTGTGTGTGCAGACAGAGAACGAAGTGTGGCCGGAGACCAAGGTTCCAGAGGGAGCCTAAAATAAGGAACTAGGCAGGGCCTTCCTGGCCCTGCTCTCATTCGGGACTCATTACTGCTACCCCAAAAGGTCTTGGACACAGAGAGAAAAGGTTTGGGGCACAAGCCCCTTCCTCCCTTGTGATCACCTTCCCACCACTACCAGCCCCCACCCCCAGCCCTTCGCCCCTCTATGTTACTTCCTTCAAAGGACTTACTCACTTTCTGAAATTCTGCTGATCTCTTCACTGCTCCTTGCTGTCTCTCTGCCCTTCCCCCACCCGCGTCCCCCAAGGACCCGGGGTCCAAGCGGGGAAGAAACATGCACTGCCCACCGGACATGCAGGGCCAGGCGCTGCCGCCGCCCAACAAGCGAACCGCATCGGAGGGTCTTACTCTGTGCCGAGCGCCGGGCACTGGTGGGTGAAGGGGTCAGGGGAAGGAAGGCATTGTGTTGTTCAACTCAAGCCTGGCCGACTGCAGGAGCCGTGTGGGCTGGGAAGTCCAGCGCGCGGACCCCAGCAGCGTCCCCCGGTCCCGCGGCCCGGGCGCCCTCACTCACCCGCTGCAGTTCCAGCTCGATCTCGCCGGCCTTGAGCACGATGGGTCCCCGCACAGCATACTCCACCGCCTTCACCTGCGGGTTCATGGACTCGAGCGTCAGGATGCGCTCGCGCCGGCTCCGCTCGGGCCTCACTTTCAGCACGGCCGGGGCCTCGGCGGCCGCGCTGCTCTGACAACGGCCCCAGGGACCAGGGGTCCGGGGGCAGCAGCCCCGCCGGACCAATGCTGCCGCTCGCTGCATCGCGCACCCGCTCTAAGAAACCTTGGCATAAATGAGAGAGAGAAACACGTCGTGCACAGTCTAAGCTGGGCACCCGTCCGCCTGCCCCCAAGCCCAGCCAAGGGCTCCTGAAGCAATGGGGGCCAGCCTGGCTCCTCGGCTGGGTGCCGCGGTCGGACCCTCCACCGCGCCCCTGAGGAGCCCAAGCGCTGCAATCGGGTATCGCAGAGGCTGTGCCCCATGCTTGCATGCAACGTGCCTGTCGCCGCCTGGACACCTCCCGCGGGTCCGGCTAGCGCGCACGCCAGGATCCGCTCTCCGGCTCCAGCGCCCGCACTCGCAACACAGAGCCCAGCACCAGCACCAGCACCAAGGGGTCCACTGCGCTCGCACACCCACCGCCGTTGAGTCCGCCTCGGACTGCCCGCTGGCCCCTGGGTTTCGTAGTTCCCCAGTACGTTTGTAGAGCAGGTGCGGGGGCTGGCCGAACTACAAGTCCCATAGTGCCCCGCGCTGGCCTGATCAGGGGGCCGGGCCGGAGGCGGGAACCGGAGTGGGGCTTTGCGTGGGGCTGAGCCCGCTTTGTCCCGGTAGAGGCGGGAGCGGCGTTCTGCCTCAGCACTGCGGGGGTCGGGCGGGGGCCTGTCGTCTCAGTCTTAAGCGAATTCAGAGCTCTTTGCAGGTTCTCCCTGGAGGCGCGTTCCTCCCTGGCCCCCCACACCTGCAGGAAGGCCAGCTGAGAGATGGTGCAGTCCTCCCCCGGAGTTTCATCATCCAGGTGGCAGCGGCCGCTCAGCGGGGGCTGGTAGGAAGCGGACGCTAGGAGTTTGGGACTTGACCGCCACTCTCATCCCTTCTGAACGCGGGGTTCCTTGTTGGCAAAACGGAGATCTGCCCACACCTGTAAGGGCAGCGGAGAGGATAGGAGGCCCAGCACCTGGCCTAGCGCGCGCCCAGGCTTCCCCTGACCCGCTCCCTCCATCGAGGCTTTCCCCCACCTCCGTGACCTCTTCTTATTTCCCTCCAAGCCTCTGAAATTATATCGTTCAGATACTTTTTACTGGGTTATGGTCTACCTCCACAGAAGTTCCGTGGGGCGGGGCGGGGGGTATGGGTATCGTGTTTTTTGTCCGTGGTATTCCCGGCACCTCCAAGGGTTTCCACCACATGGCCAAGCCCTGCAGTCAGTGTTTGCTGAAGAATGAATGCCAAGCACGGGGTAGCTCTTGTTCTTGGCAAAAGTCTCTCCAGGTAAAGGCTTCCTGGCTTACCCAGAGCCGGCGCAGAGCAAGACAAGCAGTGGGATTGCGTAAGTGACCTTTAAGGCCCCTCCCCATCTCCCAGTTCCTTCCCAGGCCCTGCCTCAGTGGTCAGGTGACTCAACCCCCGGGGAGCTTAGCTTTTCTAAGGGCTCTACTGCCTTCAATGTCCTGTTCTCACCCGTCCCGCTTTCCCCTCCAAAACACACTTAACCTTGACCTGCAGATGACGGAAGCTCAACCCCTCACTCCTCACCCAGAGGTCAGTGCACATCCTGCTGCTCCCCGACCCCCACCGAATCAGAAGGGCTGTGGGGGAGCCTGGAGGCAGGGCAGGCTTCGACGGGCGAGCACACGCTTATTTGCACAAGCGGGAAAACCAATGCCCAGCACCCAGCCTGTCTACACAGGCTCCCACGTCATCCCCCGAGAAAACAAGTTTGTGTCCCAATCAGGTCCTTTGCCAGCCTGTCATGATTGCAGGAGAAAGCTCCCTGGCTTTCTTGCGAAACACACCTTATGGTTTGCAAAACACTTCCTTGCCCCTCACGCCGTTGCACCTGACAGCCACCAAGGAGGAAGACAAGGCAGGCATTCTCCCCGTCTCACAGAGGAGGCTCTGAGAGGGTTCTCCACATGTTCAGGCCACACAGTAAAGAAGGAAGCAGGCACCGTGATCCCCAGCCCAGGGCTGCAGGCCCCACACACGGGGACCTGGCTTATGTCACCCTCTGGGTTTGGAAATTCGAGTTGCTCCTTGTCATGCCCTGAGCCCTTAAAGGGCTTTTGCTGATGGGTGGTGGTAGTGGAGTGACCTTTGTCACTTTTTTGCCCTTTAGAACAGGGAAGGGTGGAGCAGGAGTGGGCTCCTAGGATAGTGAAGATGACACCTGACCCAAGCGATCAGGAATGCCTTCCCTGTGAGCTGATGGAGACCTTCACCTGCACAAGCCCCTGACACTGCAGGCGGTTAGAAGGGTCAGGAGATGCGGCACGAGTCTGGACTACTTCACCAGTGTTCACTGGGCTAAGCTCTGGGCCTGTGGTGAGTCATGCAAACGGTCCCCAAGCAGAATGTCCAGTTTCTTAGGGACAACGTGATCAGTTACCTAATTTTATATGCAAACACGTGATTACAAACTGAGAGCTGCTGGGAGAAAAAGGATGGAGTTCTGCAGATTAGAACCCAGAAGTCTGAGCGGAGGTGTCTCTTAGAAAGTGGCCCACGAGCTGCCCCAAAGCCTGGCAGGGTGATATGGGACAGCGGTGCCATCGGGGCATGGTGCCTCTGACCTGTCAAGAAGAACTTGCCCCCAGCTGAGGGGGCTCAGTTGGCAGCTGTCCCCTGCCTGTCAGTGCCATTGGAGTGGCCTTGCCTGCACAGAGCCGCCTTGCCTGAAGTCGTCATCTCTGTGACTGACTCTGCTCAGTGGCTGAGCAAGGCCCAGGACACTGGTGGGGCAGCGTCTGGCCCAGAGCTTCCCAGAAGGCGGGCTAGTCTCTGGCAGGCTTGCATCTCGGTTTTTCTCCTCCTGCCCCATCCTGCTCTCTCCCACCTCCTCTTACAGGACCTGCACCCCACTCCCTCTATCCCTCCCAGGCCAGGGACTCCCGAAGGCCTGGAGGTCCGCGGCATTCCAGGAAGGCTTTGGTGATGTGGGGGCGGACGGAGTGGGGGAGGACAGCCCTGGGAGCCGGATGAGAAGGGAGCCGGCTTTGGACACGCAGGCCAGGTGCTGAAGGTAAGAATTTCGGTCTTCATCCTAAAAGACATAGAAGCCTCTGGAAGGCTTAAAATCAGGGAATGACAAGATCATATTTACATTTCAAGTTCTGCTGCCCAGAGGGCAGGTTGGAGGGTGTGGTGGAGGGTGCAGGGCCAAGAACTGTGGCGCCAACAAGGTCAAGTGTAGGCCTGGCTTGGGGTGTGGGCTCTTGTGAGCATAAACTCAGGGTTAGAAGGGGCTGGTTAGAAACAAGAGAAGATCCTATCACTCAGGAAATTCCAAGGGTTTTATGACCTCTGTGTCAGGAACCGGGACAAAGACCAAACAGGTTTTTTTAATGACATCACAGTAGCATAGGGCCACTCCTGCTTTTAAAAGTCATTCAGTGACACAGAGAAGATGTGCGTTCTGCCACCTGTCTCCCCACTACTGATCGGGGGATTCCGTTCATTCGCACTGAAATGAGTTTCTGATGGAAAGGGGCACCCTACTGCCAGGCTTGTTTTCTGCAGGTCTCAGCAGCTTGTCTGCCCCTCATTTCCCCCATTTTTGCTGTGCTTTGTGTAAGTTAGTTTTTCATAGCGAGGTGGTCTGAGTCCCTTCTCCTTTAGATCGGTTTGGATTCTATCGACAGCAACTCTCGGGGCTATGGCACCATCAGCGCAGCCCCAGGCTGCACCTCGGGCTGCTGTCTCTGGGGTTCCGGCGGGGACCACGTGTAACAACTGGATGTTACAGCCATCTATTCTTTCTTCTTTACTTTAAAATTTGGTTGGCCTTCTGCTTCTCGTAAGGAAATGCCTGCGGTGAACATTCAGTCTTGTTTTCTCTCTGGTTTCATTTCACTTCTGAACTCACTTTAATTTGTTCCTAATCTTTTCTGCCCATTTGTCAATCAATGGCCATGTTTTCTGAGTTCTAATTGATGTTCATCTTGGCTACCTTGTGATCTTTCGAAGTGTCCTTTAACTAGTTTTGAAATACCAGTTTAGCCCTGGCTGGCGTGGCTCAGTGGATTGAGTGCCAGCCTGCAAATGGAAAGGTCACCAGTTTGATTCCCGGTCAGGGCACACGCCTAGGCTGTGGGCCAGGTCACCAGTTGGGGGCTTGAGAGAGGCGACCCATCGATGTACCTCTCACACATCCATGTTTCTCTCCCTCTTCTCCCTCACGTCCCCTCTCTCTAACACTGTTCGTCTGGTTTGTGGTCGATGAGTCTCAAGCCTGTGGCGCCCAGATGGCTTCGGGCCCTGTCAGTCTCATCGGAGACCCTGTTCTCTCCGGTGCTAGAGCGGACGAGACCCCGGCACTGCCACGGCTTGGCTCAGATCAGCCCGCTCTGCCCTCCCGCCCGGCCGGCCCATCGGACCCCCGGACTCAGCCCTCTGCTGTCTCCTGCTCTAATGTGTCTGCCCTGCATACCCCACCTCGGTCCTGGTGCTTGTCACGCTCTCCTGCCGCGGAATCTGGGGGTGATGCCTTATCATCCGGCCTCGTTACAGACGTTGTGCGTAGTTTCTGGTTTTACCATCTAGATGGGGGGGTTGTCAAACTCATTTTTACTGGGGGCCACAGCAGCCTCGTGGTTGCCTTCAAAGGGCGGAATGTGATTTCAGTAAATGTAACTGCTCCTTAACAGGTAAGCGAGAGCTCAGTGCTGCCGCCGGGTAGAAACAAGGTACCTGGCTGGATAAAACCAGGTGGAGGGGTGGGTTTGGCCCTGGGGGGTCTTGTGTTTGCCACCTGTGATCGGGTCGCTGTGTCTGGGTTTGTCTGTCTGCTATTACGAGGAGAGGAGGACTCAGGAGCACAGAGAAGCCACGCGACTTCTGTGCCTTGCCAGAGCTGTCGGGGGGAGGGAAGGAGAGCCGGGTGAGCTCAGGAAGTGAATCCGCCCCCAAGGCCCTGGGCCGCAGAGCTGTTCCCCAGGAAGCCAGCTGCCCCATTTCTGAGTTCCCTCCGAAGAAGCTGCCGCCCCACAGGTGCGCACTTTCAGTGAGCGGGTCACAGAGCGACTCAGTGGAGGGAGCCCACTGCTTTTCAGGGAAGGATGCGGACACTCCTCCGAGATGACGCAGTCCTCGCGTGACTTGTCATGGACCCCTAACTTCTTTAAAGTGAATGTTTCCTAGTGGGAATGATGTCCAAGCGTGTTCCTTTGTGGGAGATTAACACAGAGATCAGACGAAAGCCCTCGGAGGCTGCCCGGGTGTCCAGGGGGTTTTGCTGCCTGGATGACTTTGCCCCCTGGATGACTTTGCTACCTGTGGCTCGGCTGTGCCCTTTTCCCTGCTGAGGGAGCAAGTCAGGTCACTTCCGCATTAACCAGAGTTCAACGTCATTACGAGAGTGAGGCCACTGATAGCCATTTGGCAGCCGACTGGGT